TACTAGGAGTTTAGACTAGGGCTCCTATAGTGTAATGTATAGGGTTCAGGGTTAATATTTAGGGTTCATAGGGTTTAGGGTCAGGGTCCAGGAGGCATGAGCGAAGTCAGAGGACAGGCAGAGGCCCCTTCGACCTCCCCACGCTCCCCACGCTCCCATAGTGACCGTAAATTATGATTATGGCAATTACTCGAGTCCAAATCTTTGTCTACAAAATATATTCATACATATATATATATATATTATTAGACATGTGCATAGTATATGTATGAGGTCTTACTATGCCAGTGTTTCCAGGTGGGGGCCTATCCGAACTTCAGCAGTCACTATAACAACCGCTATGTGCCCTGTTGGGAGGATAGCACCCTTGACTTTGGTGGATGCACTCCTGATGCTGGCAATTTGGCGCCTCGCTTTGGGTGCTTTAAGAAGCAGTGCCCGGCATTGGTCGTACCATATATGGTCTGGGGCTTCGGATTTGGATTTAGAGTGGACTTGGCATTTGAGGGTTGTCAGTTAGGCTGGGGACGGGTTTCTTATGTGGGCTGTGCCGAGAGTGTTGCAGGTTTCTGTCATAGCAGATTGTGAGGAGAATTCAGAAGATGGTCGATGTTCAACGGGTTCAGGGATTGATGGTGGCAATCCACATCCAGAACCAGTGGAACTCAAATACTTCAAAGGTTGTAGATGTCAGGTTTCTACCCTCAGGTTTTGGGTCCCAGAAACCTGACATCAGAGGCATAATCCATGTTTTAGGGATCCAAACCCCAGAGTACAAACTTGGTGTAGACCTCAAGGGTACAAAAAAAATCTCAGAGAAATGTTGAACACCGCTCGGCCAGGTTGCCGACGTACTTAGGGTTTAGGGTTTAGGATTTGGGGTTAGGTTTGAGGGTTGTGGCCTCGTGGAGTCGCTCATGGTCAAGGAATCTATTTAGTCCTCCCCAATACGAAAATCCACACCCCTAATAAAATACTCCTAGTACATTTCGGAACTCCACAAAGGGGTTGAAATCGATTCCTTTTGAGGATACTTTGTTTTTTTTCTCTGATTCCGCGGCCGTGTTTTGAGAGAGGTCGCGAAGCTATAACATAAGACCGGGTTCATCGGCAATATTGTTCATACCATAACTGCGGTGCACAACCAAAACGATTCGCTTCACCAGCTTCTATTCAGGGTTATAACCGCGATCATGATAAGTCAGTAAATTCCATCAACATCCCAAGCCCCAGGGGTCCAAGTATAATAAGAAATACCTACATTGGGACCTAAAGTCTGTAGATATCACCAACACTGGACTTTTTGGATCTCCAGAGAAGGTTTAGGATGCCAAGGCTCCAACTGGTGATCTTCCTCGTAGCTGTGCGCCTGGGCGGCTTTTGCAGCTAAGGGTTTGGCGTGTAGTCCCCTCCCATGATAAGACCCTTCCACGCCGCTAGCACTTCTTGCCAACAAAGTGCCATGATGTTTTGAGAGAAGAAAAGGTACATTTTAGGGTGAGGGCCTTGGGAACTTTCTAGAACGTCCCCAGCTGCCCACAAACACGCAATAAAAATGAAGAGCTACAACCTAAATGGCCTGTGGTTCGGGAACAGTCCCCAGGATTCTAGGTGGTTCTTCGCCTCTCCCCTTGACCTTCAGGTGGTTGCTGCATCGTCTGAGATTGCTTGGTTTTGTAGGTGCCTCTGGTGATCATCTCAAGTATTTTGAGGGTTTAGGGGTTTAGGGTTTAAGGTTGCATATTGCTTGCCTCTCAACCAAACGTTACCACTGTCATCGCCCTGCATTGGCCCCATGGGTTTACCGGAAAGCTTTAGACTACAGTACAGGATGACAGAGCCTCAGTTAGCCTTGGAGAGAGAGCAATCTACAGCAATAAAGGAACATGTTAAGTAGGGATTATACTCCCTTATTCCCTGCTAACCACCATTAAGGCAAGACTCCCTGATAGATAAAAGCAAGGTATCCGCTGGTGCATCTCTCAGATTAACGTTGCCATGGAACTTGTGGGATTTCGTTGCAGGCGTTGGTTACAGGGTGGGTGGGCCGGCCGGCGGAGATTCAACCCTGTAGTAGACAGTAGTCCCCATGTAGTCCCCTCATGCCAACTCAGGACATCCGGAAAGCCTCAGTTACCCAACCCACGAAACCTGCGAGGCATCCTTGCTTCCATCTACCTGAGAGAAACTTCCACTGGCAGATTCATAGTGCGTGGGTAGTTCAACGTGGGTTTATCAGCAAGCTCACCACACGTAGGGTCCAGCTAAGTGTCCTTAGAACCCCACTAAAATCTGCATCTCAAGTGGCAAACGCAAGAAGTTCACAAATTCCTGCTACCCAGGGCTTACAACGTGATGCTCCACGTTCAACTCCGAAAGCATATCCTGGCCTTGCCGAGGTCTCTCTTCGGGCGGGAGGGTCAGGGGGCTTGTGGTGGAGGGTTGAAGAGTTTAGGGAGGTTGGACTTTGTGGCTGAGCGTCTAGGGAGGAGTTTGGTTGAATTTCAGATTTGAGTTTGGAGGTTGGGGCTTGGTGTTAGGGTCTAACTAGACGCAATCATATCCCAGTGCTTGAGTGTGTCACTGGGGCTTCTTGACTTAAGCTTCAGATCAGCGTATCTCGGGGCTCCTCCCCAAAGACTACCTTCCTGTTGTTCCCTGCAGATTCCCGATGAAACCTCAATCTACAATGCGATAGTAGCCTCCCTGTGGGTGCCCCCCAGAACAGCCCCCACACAATCCCTAGCTTCCATGATCCCCATATAATCCTCATATCTGGGGCTTCTAGACTTGAGCAACTATTAGATTGTCCCTTTCGCAGGTCCGTTCTCTATGGGCAGAACACGGAAGTGCCCGCTGCCTGGCCCCAGCAAGTGCAAGCTTCGGCGGAGCGAAAACTTTCCCAAAGCTAACATAGAACCCCAGAAGCCCAGGACTGTGTAGGAGGGCTGTTTTCGGGGCTTCCATGTTCGTTTAGAGTAGTTGAGCATGACGGGCCCGAAGAGTAGCTTACTGGGCTTAGTAGGGAATAAGGGTATATCATATATCTAATACGTTACAATATATTATAGTATATGATAATATCATACAGTGTAATCTAGTATAATGTAATATAATATATAGGGCTTATGTAGGGATTATATTCCGTTATACTTATTCCCTACTAACCACCAGTACGGCAGATCTTCTAGTAGTTTCCTCATGGTTCGGCATGTACAAGGAGTCATTTCTAAACGGCTCCCGGTAATGAAGCTGCAGAACTTGAAGGGTCAGTGTTGCTGGTTCCCTGAAAATCCTTTGGGCCCGAAATTCTCTAAATAGTACATACTTTGGCCTATTTAGTTCCCCAGGTTTTCTGGTTGGCATATGCGTAGCAAAGGAACGGAACATTCCAGGAGTTTGCTTGTTGTTCGATCTCCAGCGCGGGGGGGGGGCGGGGGTTGGCGGGGGGTCGTTTATTTGAAGGATTCCCCACTCCTGGCTTGGTGGTTTTCTTGTTGGCAATGAGGACAGCTACCGTGGCCCGGATTTGAAGGACGTTGCAGCGCAACATTGGGGGCTGCTTTGGCAGTGCATTCCAGCTCTCTTTCCCTCTCTCTCCTTTCTCTGTCTCTGTCTCCCACTCACTCACTCACCACTCACTCACTCACTCACTCACTGATTAACTTGTTTGCCAGAGTGTTTAGCGACCTTGGCCAGAATATCGCCATTATTCTGGCAGAAATCTCTGTGCAGCGAGTCTAGCTTGCAACGGAATTTCTTGCTGCACATTCATTTCAGAGTCGTGCGATGAAGAGCTGGCGTGATTTTCAAACTGCCATAGAGCCTGTCTTGTTTTTCTACACAGGCTGCAAATGCTTCGGAGCCCTCCATTGCTGGCAAATAGCGTTTCACGGTGCAAGCTTTCGATCTGCCTTGCCTTCCAGGAAATGTATAGGGCATGGTTTGTGCCCCAATGTCGCCTCCTAACATGTGGAGCCCAACTGACCCGTGTAAGCAAAGCATTCTGCCCTCTTTCCTGGCCTCAGCCTGCGCCTCGTCGTCCGCGCTGGTCCAACAAGTAATTGGGCCTATGCTTTGGAGCTGGCCAAGGTCTGGGTGAAGGCTACGTGCATGGACCTTGGGGCTTGGCAAGGTATGAAAACAGACTGCATCTGATTCGTGCTCCGCTTTTTACGCATCTGCGTACACACAGTCTGAGGGCTATCTATGAGTAATCGGTTTTGCAGCGGTGCTTCTTCTGAAGGTCAGGGTGCATGTTCCTTTTTGCCTGTTTAGGTTAGCTAGGTTCTGCAACTCACTCTATGCAAGGCTGCGGAGCGAAGGATCTAGAACTGGCCTTCAACTTATTGTGGGTGCAAATGGAATCTGAAGCAATATGCACCAAGGTTGAACCTTTATTCGCAAATAACCAAGTCTCGCAGAGTCAAAGCCTCCGATTCTTAGACCGGCCGGCGCCGGAATTAAGAAACGGAGAAACCAAAAACAGCTAAATTTCATACGGCTCTTCTCTGAAACCCAAAGGAAGATGCCGCATCAACCTGTCGCAGCCAGGGCTCTGAAGATCCTGACCTCAAGCCTTGACTCCAACCTTACGACTGAATAGATTCCTGAGCGGTTGAAACACTTTGAGGAACAAAGCTGTGCCGACACATAAAACAGCTGAAGCTGTCAAAAATTCTTGCTCCGAACCCAAACAAGGCCGGGCTACCCGTAAAGCCCACACACCATAGTCCCTGACACACAAACCCAGACGACCTTCCCAAGTTGGCGCAGCCGTTGCTGCTGGCACTGCGGGAACGTCTGCTGCATCTGTTTGCATTTCGGCCTGGTTGATAAAAACAGATGGGAGCCTAGGCCATCCCATTTTTTCGTCCAGATGAACGCTAAGAACTGTTTTGACGAGGCGTAGTTGACTGCATCATCAAGCTTGGTCAATTTAGGTCGCGGTGCAGGATGCGCACTATTTTTTGATGTCTTTGGATTCGGGGCTGGATGTTTGCGCGGGGCTTGCAAAGAGTTTGTTTTGACCTCGAACGTGAGCCAGACCTTGAGATTGGGTGCACAGACCCAGGCTAGCCATTTCATCTTGCAGGCATGCATGGCATGCAAGCATCAAGCTTTCAGTATTTGCTCACGTCTAGGTGACTCCAGAAAGGCAGGTACGTGATTTTCCGGGTTCCAATACATTCGAGCGTTGGCCACTCAGCAGAGAGGGGGGGGGACGGGGTACAACAATTTGCAGCTTTGAGTAAGGTCTACGGCCTGAAGATGTTACTGTATTGGATCTCAATCCCTTTGCGTTTTGAGCCTTGATAGAAGTACATGTTTCAGGCTCTAAAAGAGGCCCTGAGGCCTGTCGAAATCTGGTGTTTTTTGAGCATCTGCATGTGAGGCTCCGCGGCTGCGACGAACAGTGCGACAGAATAAATGACCAACAACTCAACTTATGGTAGTGATAAACTTACATAGGATGGCGCACGCTGGAACTGCAGTGTCAGGTGCCCAAGCAGCTACATAGGACTTGAGAGGTGCAGTACTACAGTTACTACAGAAATACACGCCCAGCGGCCATCAAGGTGGAGAATACATGCCAACCGACCAGTCTTGATCTTGAGAAGGCCCTTGATTTTTGTGAGTTCTTTTCCTTGTATACCCAAACAACACGAATGTTGGCCTCCCGTGTAGGATTACGAAGCCCCAGAAGAAGATCTACGCAACGCCTGTCTCAAAGGCTTGTACTTTGGATGTGGATCCGCGCTGCATCTGGGCTGGGCTGCGGGCATTGCAGACTTGACCTTGGGCAACTGTGGTGGGCTTAGGATTCTCAATTGGGATGGGGGCTCTTGCACGCGCAAGGCTGTTCTCATACTAGCTGACTTTTATTTGTGGCCCCGCCTGGGGTTTGGAGTCATTGGGCTAGTTGAAATATGCCGCCAGGATTGGACCGCTATGCCAAAACGCAGATCTGGAGGAGGCAAAGCTGCTACCGAAGAGCTAGTTCCAAAACCATTTCACGTCGTACCCATGCTGCCAAGAAGAAGAAACTTCCAAGCTAAGGAAGCTGAACCATAAACGAAAGCTGTCAAAAGCTGCCACGAGCTTGAGGAAAGTGGACAAAAGGCTGCAAATAAGCTGGCTATCCATCCTGCAAGCCTCGAAGCAAGCATCCTTGAGCCTTAATCCAATCTGTTGCAACCCTCAGGCTTTGTCCAAGTATCTGATTTGCAGATAACTTTCTGCCAGTTAATTTTTGGAATTCTGGAGCATAGTCTCGCTGCAGCTGCGTTCAGCTTTCTTGATGTCACACATCAAACCCATGACCATAGTTTGGTCAAAGAATTGTTCGCACCCTCATGCAAACACGAAAGCCAAACCGTTGGGCAGGAATCAATCAAGCTCTGGTCTTACATCCTTCCGCGCTTCAAGAGGAATCACAACAGCCCCCTCTACAGGAACAGAATACGATCCTAGTGTAGGCCACAAAGGGGCCTGTTCACCAAGCCGACACAGTCATGCACATGGTCCAAGATCCACCGATCACCTACCGAGTGTGGCTGCCCCGTACTGAAACTTCCAGATGACAGACCTCGAAACAATGCTGCCGCCCAAAAGCCACCAAATTGTCAACGGCAATCGCCATCAAAGTCCTGACAGACCTGACCTTCAGCTCCAACCTCTCCCAAAGATTTGACGCTAAATCCGGCTGCCTGCTTGTCAGGGGCATCTTGCGCGCCCGGGATATCTGTGTCTTGAAGCCTAATGCTCAAGACTTGGGTCCCGAAGCATTTCGCCCTCCAGAGGCGAACAACAAAACCAACCAAATCCCAACCCATCAACCTTCAATCCTGTGACGAAACTCTTGGGGGCCGGGGATATGTCAGGAAGAGCGGCCAAGATTTGTCGCTTGGCTCAAGTCGCCACTACTTCGCCGCGAACCCTGTCGAGCGCGAGGGCTTCAAGATGTGGGGCGCTTAGGGCCCCTGGATTTTGGACCAAAAAAGTTTTGGGGTAAGGATGTGACGCGAAGGAATTATCGCAGCCTGTCAGCTACTAGCAATCGTCAGATTAGAGTGACGTTTCAGTGATTGATTCAAAATTTGTGTTGGAATGTCTGGGTCGGTTTCCAAGGGGTTCGTCTTTAGAGAAAAATGCTGCGTGCGTTTTTCAAAATAATTCTCAACATTTGCGGTGTCACCCTGAGTAGAAGCTTGCAGGATCCTGTTTTTGAAGTTGTGCTTGGCCAGTCTTCTATGCTTGAGCTTCATGGTTCGCAGGGGAGGGCATTCTGCCACTGCATTGAGGCCACGTTGTCTGCACCCGCAGCTTCCACTGGCAAACAGTGAATTGCCACAGCTGCGATGCTGGTCGCCAGCGGGGCACGCTAGACTTCCAGACTGGGTGACAGCAGTCCAAGCAAATTTCCTTCTCACACATGTTGCTGCAGGTGCAGCCATGCTGCAAGATACAGGTCGCGACAGGACCTAAACGTTTGGATTGTGGGGCATGGGATAGGTGCTGATTTGGCACGGATGCAGACACAGAACATCAAGTTCCCAAGACCGTACTGGCTGAACTCCAGAATCCTCCCTCACGCTTCTCTGGTGTAGAGGTGAATCGTACAGTCCTGTAGCAACGGATGTGTCTTTTGGCTACCCCATATAACATACAACACGATCACAACATCGCTTCAGACTACGCGAAGAAGGCCCGAGCCTAGCATGAAATCGCAAGGACACACACTTTCAGCTGGAACTCTCATGCACGTCCCCCAAAGTCAACAGGCCTACTTATCTTTAACCCCAGGTGCTTCATAATAGATAGAGTCAACACCTACTTAGACTTAGCAACAAGTCAACGTGGCTTGGCCTAAGGCAAACCCTAAGCCTGACCGGGCAGTCCCCGGCCTGGCTAAGCACTGGCTGGCTGTGTTGTTGGCTCTTCAGCAGCAATTTCGCTTGCCCCTCTCTGACCTGGACATGGGATCCAAGTCAGAGGGTAGGTGGCACTGGTAGGTTACTATCAGTACTGAAACATCTGCTTTCTGCACAGCTGCTTTCTACTTGCTTTCTGCACAGCTGGCAAAGTTAATTGCAGAATGCCAGGCTGGAACACTCCTTCGTGCGCCACACCAGTAAGCCAAGAAACAGTCAACAAAACAACAACCTGACAGTAGGGATATATACAGAAATTCTTTTGGTGCCCCCTTTTCATGTTATAATCTTGACTTGACTGCCCCAATCGCTACCTTGCTCAATTGCGGTCCAGGACATGGTAGTTGCAGGTATAAACAGCCTGGCCACAGATTGGCCTCGTCTCTTTGGGAATGCCATGTTGAAAAACTCTTTTCTCAGCCGCCCTGATAACGATCTAGATATGCCTATTGGAAGCTTGATGGGCTTGGCGATCAGGGTCGTGCGTAAGACGGAGACCCATGCTGCTAAACCTTCTTCATCCACCATTTTTGTGCTCCGTCCTAGAAGCGGAACCAAGCAACCGACCAGCTAGCCGCAACATCCTTTAAGTAGTTTTTATACAAAGAACTTAAAAAAACTCAAAGCATCCCAAGCTGCACGGCAACCCCCAAGCATCCCGATCTCGACGCGCTTCCTTCGAGCCCTCAACGTTGATTAAGAGGCGTCAATTCCAAATTGCAAACTCCCCTCGAAGACCTGCCAAGCCGAGCTGGCCTGTGAGATAAGCTTGAAGAGATCTTTGGTTCCCTCAGCTGAACGGTGTTTGCCAGCGATCTTGCTATCCGAATATCCACGATAGGGTCATTAGGATGCTTATGCAAGCCGACCCTTGTCTCCCGGCAACTCTCGCCTTCGCGAGCTCAACTTTCTGGAGCCCGGACCCAGTACCGAAGTAGACGTGCTTTGAATTTACTTTAGGGTTGCAGGATGGTTTCTACAGTTCAGCGTGCAGGGGGTTAAACTGCGGATCTAGCATCCAAGAGCAACGGATTACTCTTAGACGTCCAGCATTGCGGTTTCGTCCTTCGGAATTGAACTTAGAGTGGACATTGCGTGGGGGCATCGAGCTTTGCACTGTTCAAAATTACAGTTTCTTTTGCTTCTTTGGAGTGCTGACCTTGTTTTTCAAGGAGAAGGCCTGAGCATAAGCAAGAACTCACGGAACACACGCCCAAGTAAAGCTTTGACATCGCTTCCCATGAGTGATACTCTGGACACGAGGCAGCCCGGAGACAGCCATTTTCACTGTATCTCTTCCGCGCGTTGACCATACTCACACCTGACCTGGGTTTCCTGCTTGCTAGAACTCCTACGACCCGGCGAAGTTCTACAGCTACTCCAATGTGCAGTAGCTACTCCCGCTACAGCTCATATGGTGGGTATTCTCGTCATCATTTAGAGTACCACTTTCCTTATGGTTCATCTTGGTAGGACTCTCACTGCGAATCTACTACACTGAAATACTGCATTCTTGCGGGACTCCTCATTATCCGTATCAAACATGTAATTGCCATCCCTACGCTTACCATCTTTATTGTTGCTTCACTTGCGTGGTTACCATTTCCTCAAGGCTGTCTGGAGTCGCTCTCGCCATCCTGGCTCAGACACAGCGGATAGGATGCAGGGGGGTTATATAGGGATAATGGAAAAAAAGAATGGAAACTACTAGAATGGGTTATATGGGGGGTATAAGGAGCTTTGTCAGTCAGGGCTTCAGGTCTGGGGACGCATGTTCTGCTTATCAGGTACAGCGAGTGTGTTGGCTTGTCGTTTTGCCTGGTAGCTTGACCGCCTTTTCAGAATCTCTCTGCGCCAGTCCAGTTTTTGCGGGCAGGACCTTACTATG